CCATACTGAACTCAAAAGATCGTATTTCCTCACAAGTAGTACACACAGTAAGATTTAAGTAACTGGCATATTTCGAAAATTTGGTCAACAAAGGATGTACATATTTTTAGTCATATTGACAAATAATGTCAGTTAATAATATATATTCCTATTGTGGTTATTTACACTGTTTCAGCTATCTAATAAATTGCAATAAATTTGAATTAACTGCATACTTATATATTATCCGAAAAAGTAAATTTCAGTATTTCTGAATGAGTATTAGTCAACTTCCACCATTATGTAACAAAATAGTGAAGATTATTGTAATAGAATACTGATTTGTTCCTGATTTGACCTCATACAAACGCAGATGAGACTGGTTACGATAAAAGTTAGTCGACAGACCGATTCTATGTGTTCGGAAATTACCAGTCGCAATTATCAGTCATCAATGATTAATTTGCTACTTTTCGCTATTAAATGTATGCAGATTGAAATCAAAACTCATAAAAAAGACTTTGCCATATAGGTGGATTCAAAATACTATATGATCAACCGCTAAAGAATCAGTTAATTTACTTGTTCGGCGAAAATTCAGTAGATATCAAGGATAGGTAGGATACGTTACAAACCTAGATATTCCAGATAACTTCTGGAAAAATGTGGCTAGAATTAAGAGAAAACCAATGTTCCGGTTATATTTTTATTTTTACTGGTTCTATAAAAGACAAACAGTCGTGGGAGAATCTTTCTGTAAAATAAAAATGCATATCAGCATACATACAATAAATCTGAATTACTTTCTAATACGTAATAACTATGGAACAGACAAGTGGGTCACACGTTTGTTTGAATACTGTTTAGAGTTATAATTCTCTGTAGCTTTCCATATTAAACTCCAACATCATCCCCTTACAAAAATTTGAAACAAAATCCTCTGTTCTGAAATTTATTTCTTCTTTTTAAAAGAATGACGTAATCTCACTCCGCAAAATGTATCAAGACTGATTATGAATCATATATGTTCCTATTATCAGCCAATGACTGTCTGACTGTTCTTCTATCAACGTATCAGAAAGAAAACCTGGATCTTCTTTCGCTTCAATGCAATTATCCTCACGAATGTTTTCCACTCTGGCATAGGCCTATATATAAAACAAGTTATAATAGGTACCGGTTTTTCTGACTGTCCTCAACTATTTGCATCAACTATGATTATTTCCATTTTATATGTTTATCATTTTGTGCCAGATACAGTTTTGTAATTAGACAAAAACCGAATAAAAATCTTTCTTCATAATATCAGTCATAGATGTCTGTTTTAAAAATGCTTCCAAGAAGTTGAACTCATGTTTAGTTAACTGATTGGATCTTCTACTACAGGGCATTTCTTTACCGTGTTATGTATCTTATTATACTGACTTCGTCTGTGATTTTTAGTGTTTACAAGCAGTTGGTATTTAACTCTTCACACTTCTTTTATGTACACTAAGTGGCTGTGCGATTGTACAGCCACTACTTTTGGCATCATTGTATCAATAGTCAGGTTTATATTTACGTAATTATTGTATATTATGGTTCATGTTTTAATTTACTGTAGTAACACTTTTTAAAAATCCAGTTTGCTGTCATTTATTTTCTGTTTTCCTTTTTTTTGTTTTTATTGGAAAATAAGAGTATTTGCATGCAAGTGGACGGTATTAGTCATGCAAACCAATGGAATCTCAGTGAATATGAATCCTGCCTTCACGTGAATCGAGATGAATACTGAATTTGCAAAGCGGCAGCAGATTTCGAAACTAGAACCTGAAATACAGATGCACATGGTCTAACTTTACGAGTCGTCAGATGATGCGCAGTTATTTTTCAGTTCATAGAAGTATAAGCAGTGACCGTAGTAACGATATATAATAATTTTGTTTCCTATTACTGTGCACTTGGATGATGGCTGTTGGTTGTGGTGATGTGTAAGCTGAGGAAGTTGAGCATCTATGAAAATTCCATTTTTGAGGTACTACAACCAACTCATATATTCTTCAAACTAAAGAGCCTTTCAGTATTGAAATAGGATCTAGGTTTTGTTTTAATAGGAAATGAAGCCACTTTGTCTTCAAATGTTCTCAAGGAATCCCACTGTATGACATTCAGTAGATAGGCTTAATTAAATGAATTATTTATAACCTGAAGACAACGAAAAATATCATGCTACTGATAGCTTACATATTATTATATTCCGATAAACACATACTCATTTATCTTGTTAACAACATAAACCCTCAGGCGTCTAATATTACATGATTTTACGTCTCATTCTTACACATGGTGCACGTATTGAAGCAAACTATAAAGAATTTTTTTTAATGAAATGATATTGTAACATGTTTTGAAGTTAATCAATTTTTATGCTTTCATTTTATGTGTTTTGAACACTGTATGTTATATTGCCTACATCCTCCTATCTACTCTATGCCTATGGGAAAATTAGGTGAAAACAACAGACAACAGAAACAATCAAACATTAGACTTCTTAAGATTAATATGTCAGTAGGGAAAGATGTTATGGGGAACTGTATTCAATCACGGGGTTAAATGGACAGCAATAAATATATTGGGCTGATAGTATTCCACACATCTAACTGAACTATAATTCGTACACAACATCCTGAGCGTAGATAAATAAGATATCATTAATGTGTTGAATACCATAGGTTACGTATTTGTATGTTTATGCCATGCAAATAATCTTGTTTAAACAAGTTACACATACCATATCCGAGGTAGTTTGTTGATGTTACAGTTATAAACAGTATCTTTGTGTGTAGATACAGATTAATGTACCTCTTTATGTTTCCTGGGGTAACTTATATATTCATAATTCTGATTATTTAATTCAAAAGGTACTTAGCCATGCTTTTATGACTTGTTAGAGATATATGCGTTTGTTACAGAAATATAGAAGTTCTAACAATCCAATACTCTAAGTATTTTAGCAATACTAACCGGTTAATTGATATATGTGAGGTAGCTGCGTTTCCATAAGCATTAAAATGTAAGTTACATTAACTTTTAAAGAGAAAAATACAGTCCTAACAGGTCATCAACACATCACAACTTTTTCTTGATGAATTTCCCACACTGAACTATTCTATATTTTTGTTTAGATTCCGGATTTATACGGCGAAACTTTAGAATTCCTAATATAAAATTATCTTCCACCTAGAGCTGCAGATTCATGATATAGTTGCCTTTATTTCTACTAAAACATTCAAATGAATTTTGAATTAACCCGGAAAATGCCACTTTCATCCCAAAATATTCCGAAATAGAATATGTATTCTAGTTAATTGTTTTATGCAACATGATAAACATCGTCTCTGTAATCTTTTGACAACTCTCAACTAACCTGTATTATTCTTAACACTAAGAGCTGAAAGGTAAGACTGAGGAGAAACAGATATCGACTGTTGGTATCATACCACCGCAACACCAGTCAACTGATATCTTCCCGATACAAGTCAGCGAGTTGGGGCTATGTTAAACAAATCAGAAAATCTTATGAATTCAACAAGTCTATTTCTGAAGTATAACAAAAAATTATATAAAACATTTAGTGGTATTTTGTTGGACTTTAATTGAGATTTCCTTAGAATTGTATGTTTTCGATTACTGTTAAAGTGGTATTTTGACTATTTATTACGGGATATTTAGAAATATGACAATTCCTGCGTTTGCTGCTAAAGTAATATTTTATTATTTTAGTTTGTGAAATCAACTTAACTATTATTTCTGTGATAATTATTTGGTGATAAAAACTAAAGATATTTTATTAACCTGTGGTTGTATTTAAATACTTTGAACTCAGAACACCGATGAAAATGTCATTCCAAATAAATTATTCCTTTGAGTCCTAAAGAGAACATTTGACCGTTGTGATATGATATACAGTACGAATGTAAATAAAGTTAAGAACCAAATTTTCGTGACTTACACCGAAAACAAGTGAAATTCTTCAGTGACCTATAAAAGTACTGATTTTTTTCATATTCTGAGATAGTCTTTATCGGAATATGCTAATTAATTGTTTTATCATAGCTGTTAGGCGCTTCAGAAGTAACCAGTAAAACTGATCCCTAGGAATTCAGGTCTGACAATGAACACTTTACAATTTATCCAGGAAATTTAAATCAAATAATTCAGGCTTTCCTACACTTTTTAATGTTATGATTTGTCATGGCTTTTATTTAAAGTCATCAGTATTTAATTGTCTGAAACGCATAATGGTGGCCTGTTTAAAGCTACCACAAACCTCCATCATTAAACTGTATCTTATTTCTCGTGTTCACATTGGTTTAATGTATAAAAGTACGACCCTTAGTGGTGTTGTTTACTCTGTCCAGTATAAAAATGTATTTAAGGCCTGCTGATTCTCAAGGTCCTACTGAACTTGAGAAAATTTATACGCGCGGGTTGCAACAAATCCCGATACATGAGATGACTGTTCCTGAAATTTTAAGTACAAGCTGCCACTTACTAGGAAATGAAACTAACTACCTGCAGTCTCTAGTCATTCAGTTATGTTTTTTGGGTAGAAAAATGTACTGGTGCACTTTTTTCATTTACCTTTCAACCAAATATCGTGCATATCTTGGAGACAAAGGAGAAATATTATAAGGGATTGGTTTGCACTTCAGGTCAGATAGCACTGGGTCACGCGATCTACTATCAGTTACTATTTTCACTTGAAAATGCCGTACGAAGAGAAAATATCATGTAATGAATCCGGCTGAAAATCCTGTGCATCATATCAACAGTGCTCAGAATAAAGCTATTATTATTATTAGTTAAAACTTTAAATCACTGTCATTCATTACAATTGTGAGAAGTCTGTTTTAAAGCTACTTACAAGTGAAAACTAGACACTTAACTGTTCAGAATTTTGTAGAGAACCTTCAGACGTCAATATGCTTTTATTTACAAATGCTAAACCAAATATTCTGTCGAAATGGACTCTGACTCACTTTATTATACCGCATCTTAGAAGCTGTAGTAGAAGGTTGAGGGCCAATGCCCTTCATCATAGACATTTTGTATTCTTCTTTATTTTTCATGTTCATCTTCATCATTTTCGTTTTTTTGTTGAACATTTCTAAACTGAAGTAAACAAAATAGACAAAAATAAGTCAGAAAAGAAGTGAATATTATGATCCTATGATTTTAATATATTTTTAGTCACATTAAAATAACTTCTCCGAAAAAATTCATCTCTCAAAAACACAACGGCTTTAATGGATTTGTAATTTGCCAGAAAATATACAAATTTCTTGAAATTCTGTCGTAAAAATACATAATATGTTACAGGATTTCATCATTACCTGACATCGGTTAGAGAATCATTGGAAAACTAGCCAGGGAGTACTGCACAGCCGTTTCCTCCGTCCTAGTTGGGGACTCTCCTGCAGTACGCACCCACCACCAGGGTTCAAACCCGGGACCTTCTGATCACAAGCCAGCGAGCTCGTAGACCATTAAGCCACTGAGACCTGATCCACTGGCCAATGAATTCTAACTTCTGCCAATTCACGTCCCAAATTAGGACAAAACAGCTGTTCAGTACTCCCAGGTTTTCCAATGGTTCCCTAACCGATGTCAACTCATGATTAAATCCTGTAACCAATCAGTCGAATCCCTACAAACCGATACTTGAATATATAATATGTGTTAGGTGTACCCAATGGTTCTATTTGAACCGAGTGAATTAAAGAAAGATAACAAAATGTGATAAACTGAACGTTTGTCAATATCGTGAGATTATTGTGACACCCCATAACAGCTAATATGAATACTTGGAAACCTGTTACAAGTATGTATAGAATTCATTAATAATATCCACTTGTTTCATTCATTAACAATAAACAATTTCATCACCAAAAACATTTTTTCTTAATACAAATGTGAAACAAGAGTTATCAGGATGGGATTTGTTGAATATATGAGTCTAAGCAGGATACGTTAGCTTTTTCAGTCTGTATACATGAAATTCTGCACTGACACTAAGTGAAAGAATATATTCACGCAAACATAATACAGGAAATCCACATTGAACGAGGCCTGATAACACAATGTGAAAAAGTTAAGTGGGTCGAATAGAATTTAAATTGAAGTGAATTCATGGGTCACTGAGTCGGGTCCCAGTGGCTGACTGGTATACGAGCTTGCCTTGTAACCGGAAGGTTCTGGGTTCGGAACTTGGCGGGTGTGTACTGCCGATGAGTCCCAAACTATGACGGATTAATCAGCTGTCCAGTACTCCCTGGTTTTCAATGGTTCTCTGACTGATAACAATCTTGGATCAAACATGAAATTATTGAAATAAAAACAGTGAGTCACTGGAACTATTGCCCTGATAATTTTAAACACTGTTTGTTATAATTCTGTAAATGCATCACTGGAAACCTAACCCGCTACTTCGTACTGTGCCACTTAGGCTTTGAGGCTTACTCTAATCACCACCCTGATCCATCAGTACCACTAGGGTTAACTTCATGATACGAATTTCTGTAATGTTTTTTATTCTACTAAGCTACGAAGTGTTTATTTGATTGCCAGGAAGTGAAGTGACTCTTCGCTTACAATATTTGTCAAAAATTGTGACATTTAAAGTTAATTCAAAATTGCCATTAGATATTCTAAATAACAGTAAATATGAGCGAAAAATCGTCTTCAATAAATTCTTCCTCAGGTTCTTTAGTTAAAAACAAGTCATTTTACCATACTGTATCATATCTCTCTTGACTTTAAGTTTTGGGTGCATTTAAATCACAATCAAGATTAATTGCCTACCGCTTCATTTTTTAATCCAACTGTATTTGAATCTTTTCACCACTTCATAACTTCGGATAAGATTTTATTTAAGCCTTCAATGGCTCTTTTATCATAATATTCATCAATTTATTACTGTAGAGCAGCGGAGCAAATTTATTCAAAACTATTATTTTCTTAAATCTTTATCACCTCAAAACTATTTGGCTTTTTGTACAGACAAAACTAAACGTATTAAAAGTTTCCTTACACTTCGTACAGTAAAGGAACAGGCAGTTTTGTATTCTATACGGATAATTCAACTAATATACGTTCAGTTGTTCTGCTAGTCATTGTCATCACTCTAGTGTTATGAAATAATGGAATAAAGTGATTGTGTGTTGGTATTCACTCATAAATGCGTCTATTAAATGGTATCATCTATGTGTATAGCAAACGGAAATATTAATTTTAATCAATCGCACAGTTAAGCGACTTCACATTCATTTCGGACATTATCATCAAGTTACTACTGTGTGTTAAGTCAGTGTTTATCATAAGAAAGTTCCAAATAAATTACATGGATCAATTTTTGTCGTAATACGCCTAAGTATAAAATAAGTTTATTTAGGCTTACATTTTGTTTACCTTATGATAATTTAAGCGTGTATTGTTTATATTCACAAAATACAAATACACTCCCGGTCATTTAAACAATCCGAATAAAATGTAACACATGCACAAGTTATCATTTAGGAGAACATGGATACCAGTTAATAAAGGTATGTTGATTATCAGTCATACAATTCGTTTCACTTTATTTGCCATCATTTCTGTTTGACTACCCGGTTTTGTTGACTGTGTCAAAAAGATAAGAAAGTTTATGTTCAGTTGCTAATTATGAATGATGGGTCGTAACTTTTGGCCATACTGCAAGTTGGGTACCGCCAACAATATATATACTAAAATGACAGACTAATGTTTAACTTATTCTCAGTCGTTTGGGGATCTGAAGGATTCCCTTTACTGTAGTAGTTTGCAAAAAGCAACATTTTGTGTTGCATCTTAGCTGTGAATGTCATTTAAACAATTTTTAATTATTAAAAGATTTCGTAGGCAAATCAGCGGACGAGGAAACATCTGTTTGAAATAATTTTTTAAAAGCTCATTGGGCAGTTTCTTTTTCATTTCACAAAAATAGCATTTAGCTGCACAGATGTTTAATTCAGACTAGCTGTAGTAATAAAAAGATCAGAAAAGTGAAGAAATTTTAGCATACCTATCAAAATCGCATAGCCTATTTCGAGTAAAAGGTACAGAGATGATGGCACTGGGTGGACGATTACGTGCTAGATAATCACATGACAGTTGAGTAAAGATAAGTTTGAGACCTGTTCAGTAGCTTAAACACCTTGTTTGATTTCACGCTTATTAGACTATTGACCTAAAGACTGTTGATTCATATCCTTTCACGAACCATTATTTTGTTTTAACCTCAGTCATATTCCTGCCATGCACTTAAACATTCAAATGAAGCTTTAAGGTTGAGAATGTAATTTATTGCAAAATAAACCTTGCATCACTTTCGTCTCCTCTAATCTACCTTAATCGGCAGAACGTAGGTAGTCATTTAGGACTGGAATTTTCTCAGGTAGTTGGCCTTATTTGATTTTGCATTATGTGATTAGAGGAATACAGTAATCATATCAGATGTTATGTCTGCCTGATTTAAAAGTGTTTTCCTTCATACAGTTGGAATATCTTCTGTGCCGTTCGATATACTATGCGCTAAGACATCTCACGATTGCTTTTTTCCTCACCCAACAACAACTTAGAGTGCATCGTGATAGCTAGGCCCCTAGTATGGAGGCTACATTGCAAGACTTGACTGATAGAATTCAGTCCACACCAAATAAAGGACTAGATGCATGACACTAGTTACTTACTACCAAGTGTTCAATCAAAGTGTCTAACACAGTCATACAGGAGGTCAATCGCGATTTTGAATAGCTCAGTGGTAACGTTTCTGACTGCAGCACTAGGTGATGAAGGTTTGAATCTCAGAAGGGGCATGAGTTCCTTCAAAGTTGCAGATACGCCCTACTGACGAGTGCCAACAAGCACAAAACCTAGGTCCAGGGCTTCCTGCCGATTGCCTCCAACCACAAAATATCACTCTTCTTTAAAAGCAAAGTACTATTCATTCGTGTACATGATGAATTTAAATATAAGTACGTTACGTCGATTAGGTACTGTGTACATAGTGAAAAGAAAAGATCCTATCAAATTAAATATTATAGTTGACTACTTAAGAAATTACTCAGCAGTTCACAGATCTGGACGTTCATAGGTTATGAAACATTCTTATGAGAGCACATTTATGTCTCCAGTATACGACGCCTCTTACATAATTAGCGGTCTTGCAGAAAACTGTTTAAAAATCTAACCAAACAGTTCAGCGAAAAGGCTCTTTTCAGAGGATTCATTTCCTGTAGCTGAACAATCACATTTATGCGCAGTTTTTTTAACAAAAGAGGATAGAAAAAAAGAGAGATGAACTGTCATAATCATATTTGTTAATATTAATCAATAAATGTAAGAAGTGGAATAAGAGTTTTCGAGTTACCCAATGAGGTGGATAGTCTAATGAATGGACTGTAGTCAGAAAGTACATAGAAAAGCTGGAAAATGTGAAATCACGTAAGAGTGCAAAAGAATAGAAGGGTTCCAAAGGATTAAAAATTGAAAGAAATCAAGTTGATTGAAAACAACAGAGTCATGATAGTAGAAAACGGTTGGTGGCAGATGGTTTCAACAAGACTTACTGAACAATTCATATAATAGTTCTTAATTCTGTACTTAGTGTGGTCTGCATTTGGATGCTGCAGAGAATACATACTGCAGCCGAGTAATTTAATCGATCAAAACTTTAAATGCGAAAAATTTATGTCGAAAACGGATTTAGTTACAGAACCATTGAAAAAATAAGGAGTATTTGACGCCTATTTCGTCCTAGTTTGGGCTTTTTCAGTATTTCACACTCACTACTCCAATAGAGATCGGTGCATAACCTTCAGGCTACAAGATAAACACGTAACTACTAAGTCATTTCATCAGAATTCAATGATTCATGAATTCCAACATCTGTCAGTTTGCAACTGAGCATCACTACTATTCATAATCATCAACTGGTATCTGTCCTCCAACGCGACTAAGTGACCCACACTAGTCATAACCTTACACCAGAACTCCATGAATTCCATCTCACAGTCAGTCACTATTGAGTAGTGGATCAATATTTAAGCGTTTACGTTCGTGGAGCTGTCCAGCCTTCTTGGATTTTCAGTGATCCTGTAACTAATGTCTGTTCCTGATAAACTACGACTTATAAAATGTCTGTCATTTCTGTGTAAGAATCTTCAACGTATACGTTCTACCTAGCTAATAATGGTTCATTACCGTACAAAGTACAGTACCATTAACCATTCATATTCACATCCTCACTTGTTTATGTTGTTCCTAATACTTATAGAGCCTTAACAACCAACCAGACTTGAAATTCATTGCAATGAAGCAAACCCTAGTGATTTATTTACTATTATAGGAGCTATTTCTGAAAATTTAGTATTACTGCAAAGTAACATTAATATTAGCGTCAAGAAAAGGTGAAAAGTGATTGGTAAGGATGAACGCATCTAGGAAGGCAGTGAATTTATGTATATGATGCTGAAACTTAAAGGTTTTCTTAAGCGACTGGCTGGCACGAGATGAAATGAATTGAGGTATTGACGAAATAGAAGAGAACTATGTTCTTCCTGACTTAATTCAATGTAGAAGATAGATGCACAATTTCAGACAAATAGGAAGTCATGTATACAGGCCAGTGTTTTAGATTATGCTATATGTTCTAATGCAATTTGTTCCAACCTATTGGGGGAAATAAAAACAACAGTGATAAAGATATCTTGTTTTACGTGTTTCTCAAATAAAAATCAGATAAGACAATGACTGACAGCATCCTGTACAGGGAAAGCTTTTCCGAAAACAACCATCAATTTGTCAGTGAACAAGGAAGAAAAGTTTTTCCTATCAAATTATAAATCTAATCTCGATTGTATGCTTGATTATGAATAGCACAAAAATCTGTGATATGTGATTTATTCTGCCCTGAACTCGATAGCACTTTACACAGTTCAACACTTATCAGTGTTGACTTTCACAATGAAATCCCAACCCGCAATCATCTTACTGGATCTGATTTCAATCTTCCATTTGAAATTACAGTCTTAATCGTTAGTGATTAGCAAAACTGAATAGAGCAGCCCTGGTGACATTTGTGACTAAATATGGTTAAATGAGGTGTGACTAAATGTGGTTCTGTACTCTAGATTCTCATTTAGGAAGATTAAAATTGCATTAATTCACTGAGTCTTGCTATACAGAATGTTTTTTGAAATATTTTCTCTTTATAATTAATTGCATTAGAAAGAAAGGGAATTCACTGATAGACCAATTATTTAGAAATGTTTTAGGTCAAAATCAATACTGTCTAGAGAGGCATTACTGTTTTCAAAGTATATATAAATTGTTCCGTATCTGTTGCATATAAACTAATAAATTTACATGGTACCATGTTACAAAACCACTACTATACGTTCCAGGAGAGAACGAAATCGTCACGTGTTTTTTTGTTTAGTTCATTTGAGTCTTCAGAAAGGTACCCACTTGTAAAACTCTCTCTCTTTGTACAATTATAGCAAAAGACGTATCTTTTATTATCGGTACCATGAATCAACAGCATATTCTTTCTTAAGCTATGAATCAGTTAACACAGGTTTCGTTGTTTTCATTCATATCTAAAATGTTTAAATAATCTAAGCACTAGATTATGACAGGAAACAAACTTTTCATATTACTACAAAATTAGGTGAATCAACTGATGATTTATTTAATAAAGTCAAGTTCTCTGAGCTGGACAGTTTACTTATGAAGCTTTCATTGCCCTACTAGGCAACATCTTCAGCGCATACTTCAATTTGAAGTATACATGATACAAATGTAACTTCTTCTAGTATTACTAGTTCTTCTAGACTGATAGAATGCTGATGAATTATAATAATTCACTTCTGTAGGCATAATATTAGTAGTCTGGGCCTGAAACAGGTAAAATCACTAACCGACTTTTCGACTGCCTCTGTTTGGATGATAACAGTTATAGGTCGACGAGTGCTAATGAATAATTTATGGTGTTAATGACTAGGTACTGGCTGACTGTCACTTCTGGACAGCAGAAATTACAGTTATACTTATAAGCCTAAAATAAGTAACGTCATCATAATTACATTGCATGTTAGATAATATGACTAGGAACTAGCTGGAGTTTCACAGCAACCTTTTAACTTATTTTAAAACTCTGAATAACCACTGAATGCCTCGCTAACTTTAGAATTATTTTATTCACGGTTTGGTATCATTTAGAAGACCACCGTTAATCATTAGGAAAACTAATTTTTAATTTTGGTTTGAGACCTTTTGACAATGGTTTCATGGTGTTTATTTTAATCATTGTGTCGTAGACTTTCCATATTTTTATTTAACACGCATTTACTTTGTTAACTAGCGCGAATATTATTCTGTCATTTGTGTTGGAGTCAGTATTTACTAACTGAAAACAAATTTTCGGGACTGTTGACATAGTGATAATGGTATCTTTACTTGTCAGCAATCGAAATAGTTCTAAATTATTCGGAATAATAAAAAATTTTAGTGCATGACTATTCAGTGGACTTCGCCTTCCACCATTCGTTATCTACTCCTTGTTAAGCGGAATCTATCAGATCCCACAGTCAAGTCAGTCATTAGGAAACTGAAGATCACGAATTATTATTTGTTTTCATTTACAAGTATTTATCATCTGGTTATCTGAAATCATCTTGCTGCTAAATTTTCTCCATTTAAACTAGATTCAAATGCATTCAAAACAGTTCATGAAGTAAATGAAGTTTAACTTACATTTTACTCTGTCTCATCATTAAAGATGCATTACCCAACAATTCACGGGATACTAATCTTGCTGAAGGCTTTGGGTAACCAAAATATAGCCTTGTCGATGACCATCCAATTGGTGTATTCATGCCATTCTCATATTTTGGTGGTAACAATCGTCTGAATGGAACTAATGCAGCACCCCATCGTGGATGATTCAAATTATTACATGTTCCATCAATTGAACGATAGCGTAAATGAAAACATAACTGCCTCGAACATGGATCTACTTGCTGTGCACTTTGACAACCTGACAATTGAGCAATTATAGCCAACTGGTCTGAATTCAGTTCTACTCCTAATGTGTCACGTGAATTTGGATCAATTTCATCATCGATTTCTTTAAACTCATCTGGCATCATATCAGTTTTGCTAAACTCGAATTGTTTTTGATTTCTTTGGCGTAGGATACTAGTTACCTCGTCGATTGCTGCCTCATATACTTCAGCTGCTTTAGCTAGTTCCAGAGCAGCACGATTCGGTTGTCGAAAAAGAGAAGCAATATCTGCTGATGACCTTCTCCTTCCTGTATCTCTTAGACGATCAGCTGTCTTCTTAATTGCTGCCTCAATACGTTTACGTGCTTTTTCGATAATGTGTTTAACAAGTTCGTCACCATCGACTGATTCATAATCTGATGTCATATTCTTTGTATCACGATTTATAGTGTCTTCATTATTCTCTTGAGGAATGGACCATTCACGATTACTGTTCTCAGTAATAACATTAATCACTGTCGAAACACGAGCTGATCCCACTCTATTTGCCACATAACACTTATATTTACCGTGTGCATCCTCTGAAGTTACATTTCTGACAAGTAATACACTCATTGTTTCTGTGTTTTCATTTTCTGCCAGTATATACTGATCAGTTGAATAAATACTCAAATCCTTTTGAAACTGAAACTGGAGTGTGCTGATCTCTGTACTATGACTTCGTACAATATATCGACCACCGGTGACTAGCTGTAGTGGTAGTGTTTCTTTTTGCCATACCCAAGAAATAGTAGGTTTTGGTGAACCTTTCGCTGTGCAACGTAAGTCAAGAATTGAATGTTCTGCAACGGAGTTATCATCTGCCGGAGGTGCTTCAATTATTGTTGGTTTAACTGGTTGAATTAGTTGCAGAATGGCTTCTGATGTAACAACACCGTAAGCGTTAGACAGAACACAAGTATAACTCCCTTCATGATAATCATGGACTTCGGTTATCTCAAGAATCTTTTAGAGAAAAGACAGAAAACAAGGAAAACAATAAAAGTCTACAGAGATAATAAAGAAGGTGTGATTATACTGCGAATAAAATGTTACTGACTATAGGGTTTTTGTGAAAGCCATTTATTCATATCATTTTGACTAGCAGCTATGAAATTCAACCAGCTTCCGCTAACCAACAAAACACTCGGTAGTCATTTTAGGGTTTAACTAAAGACTTAAACTCTCGCTAGTACTTTCGGCTTCACTCATAATCTATACTTTATGATGAACCAGTTGTCATCTTCATAGTCTTCATTTTTATTTCGATCTACTAACTTTCAGAATAAACAGTACATTCACGATGAACCTTTGGTATAAATGTTTTTATCTTAAGTTCCACCTCCGTATTCGAACAACAGACCCTATTATAACTTTTAAGTGTATTCCTGGTTAAATGCATTAATTACTGATTTGATTCTGCTGGTTTCGTAATTCATCAATTTGAAGTGTACATATGTTAGGGTATCTCGTTATAGAGAAAGATATTTCAAAACAATTTATCCAAATTCTGTAGCTAAAACGAAAGGAAGGATTGGAGTCTTCACAAAATTGGGGAATTTAGGTATACTTCCACTGTACATTGATTTCAGGAAAAAACTAATTTTTACTAAGTCCTTTAATCTTTATAGAAATGTGTAGTTCTATACATATATATATATAGATTAGAAAGACAATTAAAAAACCAGTCATATGTTGATAATAATGTTCTGGAAGACGTTCTTCGTAATGTGAGAAATGATCTAGAAGCCAATGCGAAAGTGAAGAATAAATAACTAAAGTTGCTATTATGTAACAAACGTAAAAACAAACTTATTAGTTCGAGTAGACTAAATGAACTGAAAAGTTATAGCCTGAGAGTTTTAGCATAAGATCTTGGTACTTAACTATCCTGAAAAGTAGACATATCGATGTAAATCAGTTTCTGGACCATGAAAAACGTTGTGTTACTGTCGAGGTTGAGAATTTTGTTGTAGTACAACTGTGGCATTACAAGTGATAATTCAGTATTAATTTTGTTTGATTTAAGTGTCATATTTGTAAGTGATATGATTCTAGTTAGGTTAAGTGGTGAGCCACGTACTTAGCTTAGAAGAAGGCTCTACACCTCCTGAAGTTGGTAATGTTTGATTCGGTTATACGTTTTACTATCTTAGAGCGTACTACAGAGTCATCATTTAAATTTCAAAAAAATAGTTGTCTTCAAATGAGAGTATTATTATTACTAGATTAACACCAAATTCTAAAAGGTAACCAACGGTGGGTAACTTCAGCAGGTTATGCATAGTAGAAACTCTGCAGTTATAAAAATGAATCAGTCTTTCAAAAAGACAAACAAGTATCACTTTAAATGAGCCGACTTTTCATCGCTAATCAGCTATTCATTCATCTACTCGCTCTATAAGGAAGGAAATTACCAAAACACCAACAGCTGCTTTTGACTAGAATGAACTAAGTATTGAGAACAGAATTTTTCTGGCCTCTTGCTTCAAGGCAAATAAACCGGTTTGTGATTGTATAACGAAGTGGGATGAAGGGGTGCATATGACCACCTTATTAATTTAAGATGTGCAAATTAACAACAGTTGAAATATGTCAACCACTGACTGTGGAACGTTAACGTGCCTCCATAAGACCTTACATGGATGCTATATCATGGATTGACAAAAGTTAGTATTAATAGTTTACTGAGATATAAACCGTCACTTTTCAAATTAATAAGTGAATTATATTGACTAATACCCTTATTATTATATATTATTATTGTTCCCTTGGGTTCCTAGTGGAACATAGGGCTTCAAATGAACGTCTCCACTTGCTTCTGTCTTCTGCTGTAATTTTCACCCGTATCCATGTTAGTCCATACTGTTTCAACTCCTCTTCACACGATCTCCTCCATGTTAACCTTGGACGTCCCACTCGCCGCTTCCCTTTCGGGTTCCACTCGAGGGCCTGACGCGCGATGTCACCCACTCGCCTAGATTACTAGCTCGCTAGTTTTCTAGCCGGTCTCAAGCGCGGATAAAGAGGGAGGGTTTGGGCGTGGTGCTAGCAACTCCACCCCCAAAACTTAACCAAATTGCTACAGAAACTTCAACGCATAAATATATTAAAAGACTAATACTATTAATAGTTATTATTACATGCTGTATTTTTAATAAACGAAATAACTCGGTCTTTAGTGGCATATGGACTCCTGGGGCGGAATTCACTAACCTAGATTTGAATTATTTTATACAGGAATCCAGAATAACAGTTTTTTCTGATAAGTCCCAAGTAGAATAAAATGGAATTTTTGTACCCAGCTGCAGAATATCACCTACCAAATAAACCTGAATAGTAGAAATAGTTGTACTACATTTTTGAATTTTTTCAGAATCCTATATTAATGAAGAAAATATGGTCAGGAAGTTTCTCTATTATGCGACAATAAGATACAATAATAAGTTCCCTGTGCGTCGGTGGCATAGCGGTTAGGACGCTCGCCAACCATTCACATGGTACGGGGTTCGATCTCCGGCCGACGCACACCTTTACCTCACTAAGTCAGAAATAATGCTGGTAAAGAGAAAAGGTTAGGCATGAGGCTAGCAACCTCATCCTGTAAAATAGACACTGCTACAGAAACTTCAAGCCACTAGCTTGAGGCCCTATGTTTCACTGGGAACGGGAAGGAAAAAAATAAGTTCCCTAGTAGTGAATGTAATTGTCTAGAAACTGATTCCCACAGTCTAATCTGTTAATAGAAATAGAAGTTATGACTTAAAATTAGATTAAAATGGATCTTTGCTTGTAACCACAGCCACGACTTGTTTCTATAACTTGTGGTGCTGCTTTCGTTATATAAGTCAAATATTTAGCCACTATAAAAGACGGTAAACAATATGAATAATTTTAAAAAGATATGAATGGCTTACTTGACGTCGACGATAAAGTCTTATAAAACGTGTAGCTGTATTAGGTAGAATCCAGTTAATCTGGCCAACGGTACCTGATTCACCTCTACATATAAATCTCGCCACTTCACCAGCCACTACTTTTACGTTTCGCAAATGGACAGCTAAAACTGGTGGTTTATTTTCGGAATAAAGTGTAGTATTTTGATTCGATACTAATAAATTATTCGAATTTTGATCCTCTGTTTCATAATGATTGTCTGATTTAGTAAGTAGTTTAGGCGTTTTCCCACCGAAATCTTCTCTTGGACAGTGTGGCCATGGCCAATAACGACGCAGTATTTCTGGCTCAAATAAATAAGGCTGTGAATAAATCGCTGAACTTCTTTCTGGTTCACTCACTGTTTGATAGCCTAAAATACGTGTTTGATTTACCAGCGTTCTGAGACGATCAGCCAAATCTGACAGCCTTACATTACGTACTTGTGGTGGATTATGGCATGTAACTCTTGACGATTTTTGTTCAATATACATAAGTGACAGTGCAAAATCAACTATTTCACAAGGACAGTAGATTGGATTCCCGCCTAGTGATAAACGCTTCAAATAAATTAAGCCTTCCACTGAAAATGGTATATGTTTTAATTGATTATCCGACAAATCTAGTTCTTCTATCATATATACCGGTGTGAAAACATCTTGCGGTAGGTAGGCTAAACGGTTAGACCGTAATATTAAACTTTTGAGCATTGGTAAACCTGTGAACGCTTCAACAGATATCCATACAATTTGATTTGAATACAACTCTAAACGTAACAGATCTAAATGTCCTTCAAAGGAGGCTTTCTCCAATCTCATTATAGAATTCTCCACAATAGTTAAGTACTGCAGAACTCCACCGCCTGGACTTGGAACAATACTTGGCAAACGGGGTATTGCACGAAATCCAACATTTTGGCAATGAATTGTTTGTCCCATACACATACATCGTTTTGGACATTCTCCAGCAGCAGTCAAGATAAACTGAAATAACACTGTGAAAGTGTAGACAATCAGTGGTAGCATTATAGGTTATTCGATTATTTTCAGATGAATAATTATAAACTAGTCATTTCATAGAAGTGCTATTTAAATGATTTGTAAAATGAATAATTTTCTATCCTACTATAGGTTTGTGCATTTGTATTTATACTCCGCTTATATAATGGTGAAAATTGTGAATACTTATAGATGGATCTTTGTTTATCTGTATCCAGTAATAATAATAGTAGTAGTATTAATAACAATAATAATAAAACAAAACTTCACATGTAGATGACTGAATAGTTTGAAAAAGTCATTACACTAATTTAATGAATTTTAGTGAGATTTGTACACGTTTAGAGATTATCAAAAGTCTGTATAAAACATAGTTACGATTATATACCTCCACAAAATGTTTATAAGCGATATGCGTATATGTATCTACCTATACACGCTAAATGTGTTCACATCAAAATTCAGTTAAGTGAATTAGGAATAAAAACTTAAATAAGGTCAACCTCTAGTTGACAATCATGATCAAAGTTTATTGACTAGAGAATTAATTGTGGCCATTCTGTTAACTGAAACATTTCAGAATGAAACCATTTCTCATGCTAAATAAAGTTAAAACGAAATAAGTGTATGATATAGAAGATTTGTAGCTCAGGTGGATGATTTTGATGTGGTTGTGTTCTCTGAGCTGGATAGTTAATTTGCGAAGCTTTCATCGCCCAACTAGGCGACATTTTCAGCGCATACTTCAATTTGAAGTGAGCTTTCAGATTTCTCCAAGAGTTTTTTTAATCATCTCTCCTGGTAACCTTGAACGTGATTGGTTGTTTTTGTGT